CTCTCCTCACCTAATCACTTCGGCTGATTGCTCTTCTCTCTGGTTTCCTGGCTTTTAATCCCCTTTCTCCTGCTCTTCTGGCCTGCTACTCTGGGCGTCCGAGTTCTCTCTCCTCACCTGTATCCCTGGGGCTGACTGCTCTTCTATCCGGGTTCCTGGCTTTTATCCCCTTTCTCCTGCTCTTCCGGCCTGCTGCTCTGGGCATGCCTAAGTTTAACTGCTCCTTACATGTAATAAATATTTCAGTCAAGATAGGGCCCACCATTACAAGGGAACTCTGACAGTGGTTCCTCGATGTGAAAACAATATTCAACTTCCTGCCTCCCATTAATATGACTCAAAAAAAGAAAAGGTGATTGTCTCAGTAGCCTATTTTAAATAAGTTTAAAAGAGAACCTCTAGTGTTGGATCAGAAACAAACATTTTTTTTTTTGTTTAAATTGGCTTTTGGTTAATACTTACAATACTTGACAAACTGAGATGACCGCAAGCTTCAGACTCTTCAAAGCTGTACCAGAATTATGTATATTAAGCTGTCTCTTGTAAAGCAAGTCGTATATACAATAAGGCAATCACTGGACAGACAGGCTCGTTTCAGGTGAGGACAGGTGTATGGGATTTGTATCACCTGAAGGCTGACTGCTGAAGGATACTGGTCTAGATTGGATTGCAGTCTGGGGCACAGTCTGCACTTCCCACAGAAAGGTGATTGTGCTACAATATAATCAGTTTCAAGATGAGGGTAAATCCAAGGGCAGCTTTCCGTAGGCAGAAGCCCACCTGCTGCCTTTTCCTTAATTGCAAGTTGGTGTTCACCTCTTGCAGGAGTCCTTCCAGTCCCCCTAACTGAAAACAGTTTCCTCTGGAACAGACATTAGTACTTTGGGAAAACTTGGCAGGGTGTTATGTGGCCATGATCTAGTCCTCAAGCTTTATTTATTATTTTTATAGAGGAGGGGAACCACCAGTATTATTAAGGTCTCTGCACTTGGAATGGGGAAATACCTAGATTAAAGCACCAAAATTTTGCATTGGTTCCTTAACTTTTGGTTTGATTTTCCAGTGTCACATGTGGCTGAGTTATGCAAATGAGGAATCAGCCTGCACTCCTACATGGCTTGACTTTGTCCTTGGTATCACTTGGGAGCTTTGGTGGTGCAGTGCCTAAAGCATTTGACTCCTAACCAGGAAGGCTGGCGGTTCAAACCCACCAGCTGCTCCTTGGACAATCTACTTCCATAGAGATACCACCTCGGAAACTGACTTGGCGGCAGTTTGGTTTTTTTATCATTGGCATTGAAATATCTCATAAAAAAGGTTCTGTTCGACATTCCATCGGACACAACTATCAAACAGATATGTCTGAAACTGCTTGTTGGACGGAATAGACTGTTCTGTCCAGTTAAAGTTTTCTCAAAAGTTCTGTTGGTAAGGTCCTGTCACATTCATAGTCTAAAACTGGGATGAAAGAAAATTACCCAATACATGGCAAAGAGCACCTGGAGTGGAGGATTAAGGATTAGACCTAAGCTTCCACTGTCCCCCAAGTTCATAATGGGCCAGAGAGCAGAGGACAAGTAATCTTACAAAGCAGGTTATCAAAATGAGGGAGAAAGAAGCAGAAACAAAAACAGCCTCTTAAAAATAGCCCTCTCCCCCTTTTAACTACTAAAGGAAGTATGGGATTCACTCCTAAAGGTATATAGCATCTGCCTTCACATTAGTACTGATGACGTTTCACAAAAACCCTGCCAGACGTATAGCTTGTAATGGTTTATTCACCCAGTTGCGTAGCTTACCACATTGCTTTGTGGCACTCGTGTGGACAACTAAATCTTGGACCTGTTATTTTCAAGGGCTTTATAAACAATGTGACTTAGAATGCTTGGCCTGCAGCTTACAGCTTACTATGTATTTGTAGTTAGATGCTACCATGGTGTTTAAAGGACATGGATTCTGTCTGGGTGCTTTTGGTTTCCTTTCAGAATCTCTTCCCACTACCCTGTGAAGAGTAAAAAGGACCCCCACCCCCAAGAAGGACACCCTCCCAAAGCAATCACCTCACCAGCCCAGTGTTGTGGCTCTGTAGCACACCTCTACCTGCCATATTCTAGAGCACTGTAATGCTACTAGGCTGGCTCAGAAAAAGCTTAAATGTTAATTCACTTAAATTGCATTTGTTGCACCATCGTGAGATTTCATTTTGTACTATTTATAGTGGCAGTAGACTCCAGGTAGAACAAACTTGGATCTTGGATACTGGACCATTTCATCCTCAGACCGTAGGATTTCATCCTCAGACCGTAGGAATACATTTTTTGGTCTTCAGACCAGTGTTTTTTAGTTATGTATCCAACTGCCTTTATTACACCTGGTTATCACAATTCAGTTCTCAGGTGTTGCAGAAAAATCTACCTCTCTGACTGTAGATGGTAATAACTGTGAAAAAAAAGGATGCAGATATCTTCTAGTTTGTGCTAAAACACACTGCTTTATTTTTACAGCCCACATCTTTCATGAGGATACGAATTGTTAAGAGGCAGTCTTGTTTTGCTTTTCAAAGACATTTTGTAGAGATTTTTCACTAATGTGAATCTGATTTTATCTACTCAATTCTGTATAGCTCAAGTAAATATGTACAATAAATCCCACAGCTTTTGTGTATTTTTTGTTAACCATGTGCCCTTAATTGTATGAGAAGACTTGGCAGATAGCTATACTTTGTCAGGGTTTTAAGTTTCCTTCTACAAATTGACAAGTCTCTGGTTGATTGGGAGAAATCTCCTTTTATGCAGCTGTTTGTTAGTATAGTTTTTCTCATTTAAAATGGAATTGTAGCGTGTAGCTTGTGTCAAGGTTTTTGAAAAGTACAAGGACTCCAACTGCTCCAGTCTCAGCTAGCCTTAGTACACCCTGGTCCTGGTTCCTTCTATTTGAGTAATTAAGGCTACTTGAATATAAGAAATGTTTTATTTGGGGGTGAGCAAAAATGTTTCAGCACATAGAACCCTATAAAGAAGGGTCAACGTTGAATGTTTGCTTTTTTTAAAGGATCTCTTAAGAAAACTATTCCTAGTTGGCAGGTCCCGCAACAGGCTAAGGGACCATGGTGCAGTCTGGTATGTCCCCTTGGCTGAGTCCTGCCACAGGAGCAAAGGAGCACTCAAATTCAAACTGCCCAAGGGAGAGCAGATTGGATATAAAGCAAGTGTGAAAGTAGCTGCAGGTTTGTGACTGTCAACAGACCAACAGGCCCCTGCACCCCCAATTTGGGCTTAAGGATACTGTCATGTGCCCTAGAAACAAAGATGATAAACGCAATATGTACCATAATAGCTTCCTCATATAAAATGAGGTAAAGAGGACATTGGAGATAAAGTCAAATCTTACCCATTTCTACTTAAGAAGGGGGATATACACACATACAGTTAGGTCACATGCTCCTTAAAGAACAAAACAAAATTTATTTTAAAACTTTATTTTTGCAAAGCCAATCAAGAAGTGTTGGAGGGAGAAAGTGTAAAAGTTATTCTTGCATATTTGGGAACAGCAAGCATTTAGTTTGAGAAAACGAACACTTGGAACAGTGGAATCAAAGGCAGGACCCTGCAAGTTGGATTTTAAAACGAAGGTTAGGCTTGCTCTTAGACAACATTCCATTCTTTCCTAACAGCTACGATATGATACAGTACGCAATAGCTCACTTGAAAGTGCTAGAATCGGGTAAAGAATGCCATGCCACCACTCAGGTTGCCTACTATACAATGCCTTTTTTGGCGCTCAATACGGCAAGCATTCATGGAGGATTCAACAGGAAATTCTCTTGCTTTGGGTTTATGATCCTTGCCCCTCCAGTTCCGATGCTGTGACATCTGACTCTTCATCATTGTAAATATTTTCAGCCTGGAGATAACAACCAAATAAATTTGTAGGTTTTTATAAAGAGTATCCAAAAATAGCATGGACAAATTGACCAAGTTTTAAGACTCTGATTAATGTATTTCAATATTAGAAATGACACGTTTTTAGGGTGATTTACCAGTTTTATTTTGTTGGTTCCCAACATCTCTCCCCAAAAAACCCCCATCAATAATTTAACGTAGGCCAGTATTCTTTAAAAATGATTTGCAATCATATACACTTCCACATAGACCTAAGATACTCACACCCAACTTATTTTTTTCTTCCAATTATTGTTCATACCGTTTTCCAAAAGCATTTTCAAGCACCATTCAGAAGAATGACAGGATTGATGTTGTTGAAAGGCTTGGCTAGGAACTAAAGACCTTCAAAAGGTCAAGTACTTAGGGTTCATCATCAGAACTCAGTGTCATTTCACTGCCTTGACCTTTTCTGGGGGCACCCTTCATGACAATGACACAGTACAGACACTACTTGATGCATACTGCACCAGCCACAAACACTGGAGCAGAAGCTGCATCTACATTTGTGTGTTTATACAGACAGACTGTAGACATGTCTCCCCACCTGCAGGTGACAGAAATGGTAGATAAGACCTAGAAATGAACTAAAGATTGTGTTGCTAAAAAGGTTTACACTATCTCCTTTTTCTACATACTTGGGCCACAAATACACAAGTATTTTAAAAACTTCTATATTATATCATTGATAAATTTCTCCTTTCCAGGTTAAAAAAAAATACTTAGCTCACCATCTGCCATATTTGCATGATGTTATCTTCAGACACTGAGCAAATAACCCAAGGCTCATTGGGGTTCCAACTAAAATCTGATATCTTGGCAGTGTGTCCTCCATGAATAAACTGTTAATAAGAAAAAAGAAAAGCACCTTCGTTTCCTAGGTGCTCAGGTTAAATCTGAAACACTCATTAATGATTTAACTCGTTATCATCTAATTAACAGGTGCAAGTGTTTACAGTAACACACCTCTGGAGTCATATATTCCTACCCGAGGGCTCTCCTGATACTATCATAAACCCCATTCCGAGGACCCCATTCTGCTTTACCAAAACAAAGGTATTTCCCTACCCACTTTCAGTCGCCCACCCTGAATCGGTCAAGGTACACTGGCTGTGGGGGAGAAAGCCCTTGGGGCTCCCCAAGCAGAGCTCCAGAGAGCCCCTAGGAGGGCAAGGCCATGAAAGTGCAACTGATTAGTGCTGACGGAGGGCAGAGGTCCTTCATGCAGGAGACTACCCCGTGGGAAGATGTGATTTGTTTACTCCAGGATGAAGGTTCCAAACAGTTGTCACAAGGACATATTAACGCATGCTTTGAAGCTGGGAAGTCACACTTGTGACAGGGTCTGATTTCAGTCTTGAGAATGGAGTCTCTGTCTTTCGTCTACTTTTATGTGCAATGTAACGATTTTATCTAATAAACTTTATCAGCTCGAGAACATGACATGGGCAAACAGTTTCTCATAATACCATTAAGGGGGTACACAAGTGAAAAAAAGGTTATGCCCACTGGCTTGGAATGTATTCAGAAATGGAGCCATGAAGACAAGATATCATTACATTAAAATTATAGTCAGTCTCCAGTTTACAACATTTAAATATCCCTTGATTTCAGGGAAAAAAGTCAAAATCCTAGTGAGTTTTATTAAGAACACAGTTGCAGAGCCCACAGTATACAAAGTAATATTCTCCTCTGCCTGTAATAGCAAAAAATAGCTGGCAACCTTGAAAACATGGTCAATCAAAGACGTCACTCACCAAGGACCACATATCATTCTGTTTCATGAAAGGTCCGGAGAGGCAAATCTAAGGCTCGGGCAAGAGGAGGACTGGGGCTGATGGTAAAGGTACTGGGGGGGGGGGTCCTTTTGAGGTGACTGAAATTAATTTCTGATGATGGATGCATACTCTCAATTAGTAAAAACTGTTGAACTGTAAACTGTAAGTAGGTGAACTGTATGGTAATTGAATTAATCACAGTATAGCTGTTACTTAAATAAGTAAAATAAATGCAAACAGGTGGGGGAAAATAGTGGTAGCAACACCTTATCTAGAAAAGACTTAAAAACTATGAAACCTGTTTCACATACAAGTTTTAAAGAATGAGTCACCCATCACAGAATACAACACCTAGATGCTGCCCTCTGTACAGGGCAGGAGCTTGTTGAGAAACCAGGTTTCTTTCAGCAGGCAAGTAACACTTCGGCTTACACTCAAGGGCTGCCTTTACCTTTTCCAAAACTGGTGGACAAAGCACTAGCGCACAACCAATGAAATAAAGGCCACGAGCTAAAGAAAACACACACGACAGCGCAGTAACTGATTACTCGCTAAATGATGGGTGAGACAAGTGTTGAATTTAGAGCAAGGACAAGGAAGCCTTTGCCAAGGCTGGCAAAGCTTTTAGAAAATTGACTGCCAAGTGGGCCCTGAAGGCCTCTGAGAAACAGAAGGATGAGAATGGACACTTATCAGTGGGGGAGGGAATGACACATGGCACGATTGAAGTAGAAACAGTTGGGAGATGGTGGGCATGACTGCTATCAACCAGATTGATGAAATCATTCATTTTCTGGGTAGGAAACTTAAAAATCGTCATCATTAAGAATATCCACACTTCCAGAAAGTGTTAAGTATTGTTGACTGACTATCAATATGCTCCCCTACTCTGCAAAAAAAAAAAACTTCAGAAATATTAGTTGGTATCAGTGAAAAATGACTACCATTTTACAGGATGTCAAACTACTCTTAAGTGGAACATTTTTGAAAAGCTACCAGGCTCTAATTTACTACATGGGCAGTCCCTGGTTACTGACATCTGGACTTATAGGACAATTCATACTTGCCCTTGAATGTTAAGTAAATTTGTCCTCACTTTGAAAGGACTGAATCAACCCCTACTTGGTGACAAATTCTTGATCACAGTCCCCTTCACTTGTTGACCTGCACGTGGACCTTTGAAATCATGAGAAAGGCTTCCACAGCCGCCTCTAGCATTAAAGTTAGGCTAAATAAGAACGATACGTATACAACTGTTCTGACTTACCTACAAATTTGACTTAAAGACTCACTTAAAGACACACTTAGGAACAGATCTTGTTCTCATTCATAACCAAGGACTGCCTGTATTTCCAATAAATGTTAAAACACTCACGATAACCTTCAAGGCTTCCACTTTGAAGTCATCTTCAAGAGCTAGAACTTGATGTTCTGCTGTGTATATTCTCAACAACAAAAAATACATTTTAAAAATAATAAAAAGAGCTACCAAGTTGAAGTTAACTCGTTCGAGATAAAAGGACCCATTGCAAAGAGTCCAATCTGCAGATGACCTTTCATTTGTGTTAAGAAAGTTCCCACATACCAGGAGTTCGGGGGGCCCATCTTCTGCATCTTCTGCTGACTGTTCTTCTCCAATTTTACTATTAAGGAAGAACACAATGCTTTCGTTACCAACATTCTTGTAGTGTGAATATATGAAAAGCCAGTATCATCTCAAAGTGTATCTTAAAACATGCACAAACATAAATGCCCACATTCAACCGAAAAAACAACTTATTTCCACACTCATATCAAGTTGGGTTTTTATAGCATTTTTGGTAGAAGGGTAGAATGTTACTTTCGAGAAATGGGGTAAGACTTGCTTATAACTCAAGCAGCAGGGTGAGAAATATGTTAATGAACATTAACTTAAAACTACTTTAACTGCTCTGTTTACGGCCTTAGAATTAAAAGATGAAATATAACAGGTCTCAATGAGACTTGATTCGCCTCCCCTACACTTCAGTCGTAATCCAAGTCTTGCTCATCTGAGCAGTGAGGTGATCCTGCAGCCAGTACCATACATCTGTCTGAAGATACGGCAACATGCAACTGTCATTATGGACCATAGAAGCCAAGCAAAGGTTTTCAGCTGTTCATCTCTGGAAAACTTCAGTTTATAGAATTTGCCAGTAGCCTAAAGTGTTATCACACTTAAGCAAAATTACACAGTAATAGCAGCCCTATCTTTTATCCAGCCCAAAGCTGAACACTGTTAGTAATAACTGCTAGAAAAGCAGCCAAAACATACAGCTTCCAAATGATATGTCTTTCCCTTCCCATAAAGTTAATCAAAGAAATCCAAACATGGGATTTCTACAAAAGTTTCTCCTCCTTCCGTCATGAGTAAATTGCTAATGATGACCGTTCATCCTTAGTTTTATCTAATATGATTTTAGTAATAGCAAGCCACAAATGAATTGTAAGAAGGAATTACACAATGCCTGTAAATGTATTATTGGCACATTTATGGGCAATACAGTTGGTAGGGCATGAGACACTTCCAAATCTTGCTCCACCCCTCATATGACAACTACATGTTTTTTTCACAACTAAAATCTTTCTAAATAAAATGGAGGCAAATATACTCAGATATCTTCTTACAGATTTTCCGTATTTCTGAACATGTCTGTAAGGGCCAGAGACTGTTCTGTAAGAAGCCCAAACAGTTTCAGTTCAGTACGCTTATACTAGCATTTCATCCATCACGGTCTCTGTCCCAGATAGTGAAGGATGGGTCTGCTGTCAAGATCTCTTAAAATTTGAAGTTGTATATTAAATTCTGGCAGTTCAAACCCACCAAGCCACTGCTCAGAAGGAAGGTTGGGCAATCTACTTCCGTAGTGATACTGCCTCGGAAACCCAAGGAGGTGTCGCTATGAGTTGGGTCTGATTGGATGGCACATAGCAACAACAACATATACTAAATATAGTCTACTTCAAAGCAAAACTTAGTAACAGTGGGAAATTGGGGGTTTTTGATAAGTTTTTGATTTAACCTTAAGATGATGCTATTTTATGATCTGAATAATACTGAGCAACTTTAGTATTGGCTCTGAAGCCCAGACAAAAAAAAAAAAAAAAAAGAAAAGCTATCTGGGATTCTCAGGATGTCAACTCCTAAGTCATGGGACACGAAGAATTGGGAGAAATCTATAGAATAAGCCCCTAGAAGAACATAAGGTCTCTTACAGTGTTGGCTGTGCTTGTCTGGTTCAAAGACTACCCTACCCCCCAGCCATTATACAACCCACAGCAGGAGTGCACACCTGCTGAATAAATGAGCAAGCGAGTAAAACCTGTGTGAGGTGGAACCCTGTCAGAGAAGGAAAACAAAAATATTCTCTACTACAATGAATGACAGAAAACTTGTGAGACCTGGAAAAACTAGTCAGTCCTGTCATGTTCCAGCTCTCACAGGTTTTACAGTACAAAAACTATGACTAAGAATAACCTTGCCATTGGACACCCAGGAGACGGCTAACATATGGATACCTTTTACTGCAACATGCTTCAAATACAATTATTTGGATGGTAACATGCACACATACAACTTCCTGTCTTAATATTAGAAAACAAAGCTCACATCACAAAAATGCATTTTATGCTTCATTTTTCAACTCACTGATTCACCTCTATTTTATGGAGCAAAGACTCTTCAAAGTACTTAGCAATTACTTTAATATCAGGTTTATTAGATTAATAAATTATTCCTTCTTGCTTAGAAACTATTACATAATCTGTCATGTTAATATATTCATATAAACTCGTCAACAGACTCAGAGTTACCTTAAGTCCCACACATTGAGGCGGCGATCAGTACCACTTGAAGCCAGAATGGTTTCATTATGTGGAGACCAGTGGACCTAGCAATACGTATTTTGAAAATGTATTTAAGAAATCACGCATTCCTGCTTTGTGGATACTACACTAATCAGTGGCTTTTCCCATCCTGTGTTCTGTATCCTCTCCCAGCCACAGCCCTCACCCCGCTGTCCTAGCCTTTCAGGTGCTCTGGAAAGGGTCCATCTCCTGGGCCTGCTGCTGTGAACATCATACCCATCACAGCCCTCAGGAGGGGTCCCAATGAACTTACTCAGCCCGTAACCATCAGAGAAGCAGTGAAGTTTCTCAGTTGAGGTCTAGCTTAATGTAAGCCAATCTCTGAGTTAAACCTGTACAAGGCAGACATTCTCCCCCTGTGGGTCCACTAAGTCGGCATGCCTCAACCCAAGGGTCCTTAGACTTTGCTTCCTAAACTGATCCTATTTTGCAAGACCTTTTTCTTCTGCTTGAGAACTAGCCTCCTGAAAATCTCCACTAGTTTGTAACATACCTGAAAAATCTCATCTTTATGCGACTCGAAGGTATGGAGTTTTAATTTTAGATTACGCAGATCCCATAAAGCTACAGTCTGGAGAAAAATAACAAATCGAAATGAATTCATTTCTAGTACTTTACCTAAGATAATATGAAACAATGTAAGTAAAGCCCAAGACACCTGGGCTTGTAAACACCATATTTCCAAAAACTTAAGAAACCTTATCTGCAGATCCTGTTGCTAGAATGAATTCACTGTACGGATTGAATGACAGACAGTTGACCTCAGCTGTGTGAGCATCCACCAGGTGGCTTGGCTTGGAGGTGGTGTTGGACCTGGTGTCCCATCTAAAACACAAAGATACAAAGCTGGCATATACAAGGAAAAATACGTCTTGCTAGCCCATTCCACACTGTTGCTCTTCTCCAGTACAGCAACGTGTCCTCCCACATCCGCATAAGCACCCTCGATAAAGAGGCCAAACAAGAGGGGTAAAGAAAAATCAGTACTCCTCCACCATCAAAATGATACATTTTAAACCTCAAACAAACTAAGGCTGTTATTGCTGGCTTCTTGCTTTTGAGAGTCCTCAATTTTAAGTATGAACCATTTTGAGCACAAAGCAGAGACTCCTAGAGAATAATGAAACAATTTGATACCTACATCCTAGTCTTGTCAAATTACAATACTTTGCCACTTGGGCCTCAAATGTTTTCTTTACAAGGTTAAAAAAGTTGAATGCAGTGTACAGTCTGTCCTGTTTGAATCACTGCTCTCTCCCTTAGCGCCAACTAAAGTCAACCCAACCCCAACTTTGATATCTGCCAAGACCAGAGATGTTTCTTCACATTCACCCATCTGTTTTGTTTTTTAAAATTAGAAACTGCAGTTGTTCATAAGGAGCTCTGGTAGCACAGTCCCTAAGGCCATCTGTCTGCTAACTAGAAGGGTGGTGGTTCAAACCCACCAATCACTCCACAGAAGCAAGACTAGGTAATCTACTTCCATAAAGATTTACTGCCTTGGAAACCTATAGGGGGTCGCTATGCCTCAGAATCGACTTGATGGCAGCAATTTGGTTTGATTTGCATTGGTTCATGTAGCAGTGACTCTTCTGTCAAAAAGCCCTTACATACATCTGTGCAGTTGACCTCACTTAAAACTGTTCCCTGTTCTTTTTCCAAAAAAATCCATGACATAACTTAAAAATAACTCAAATCAGAGTCCATAATACCACAGCAGTGACGGTCACTCAGGTCACCCGTGTAACTCCCCGCTAAGCTTTCCACCTTACATCATAAGTTTCTGATCATCAGCAACAGATCCAAACAAGGACTCATGGAGCAGATGCCAGGCTACATCTTCCACGACAGCTGAGTGGCCAGTGAAGATTGCTTTCGCATCTACAATTTTGCCTTCCTTTGGTCCTGCGTTGATATCCCATAAGCAGACAGTCTGAAGGAGAGGGGGGAAAATAAAAAGAACAAAAGCTGTAACAGAGTCAATTTAAAATACTAACATCTTATTTAAAACATCTTTGTCAAAAACAAAACATTATTAATTATATTAAAGTTAGAAACAACCACGAGGGACAATATAATAAACTGAAGCAAAACTTCAGGAACAGAACGGAGACATCAGGCCTGCAGTGCAGGGGGCAAGGAGACTGTACTGTAATGGGGCATGGGGACCAATGACCTGGCAGAGACAATCAGGCTGTAGTGCCTACACATGCAGACAGCCAAGTATCCAAAATCTATCTAAAAACACCACACTGCACCAATAGCCAGGTGCTTGGTATCTAGTGAACACAAACACACAACCTTAAAAACTCACACTGGGTCAGGAAGAATGGGAATTGGAACGATGAAAATGAAAAGGTGCCCCCTAAAGAGAAAATGCCATTTGGGCAAGTCTCTCACTTCCAGGCAGAAACCACTACAGACATCAGGAGAAAGCTGAATGACCCTGGCCCAGAACTTCCTAGGTGGCCTGGAGAGGCCAGATCTTTTGGCCTACAGAGCCCTATAGCAGGCTCCTGGAAATGGCAGCCAAGTCCCAGGGAGGCCAGGGGTCTGTGTCCACAGGCCGTGAGATCCCAGGGCTTCCACATTCTCTTGGCATCCCATGACAGAAGTTAAGAGTCTGAAGTTTTTATGGAAAAAGGGATCAAGCTAGAAGGTAGTGATTTTCATCCAATGGTTTAACAACCATTAAAGAACATTAGCATTAATTATAAATTCCACTGATATAGGTATGAGTGCCATCTCTTTAAAATTATTATCTTATCTGAGGGGGTTTCTGTAAGAAAGCAACTTCCCAGTAACAAAAAACAATTTTATACCATATGCTGTCAAGCCGATTCCAGCTCACAGTAACCCTACAGGACAAAGTAGAACTGTCTTATAGGGTCTCCTAGGCTGTCAATCTTTACAGAACAGGAGCCCTGGTGGTGCAATGGTTAAGCACTCGGCCGCTAACCAAAAGGTTGCTGGTTGGAACCCCCAAAGAGCTCTGTAGGAGAAAAGACCTGGTGCGCTGCTTTCATAGACTGTAGGCTAGGAAACCCTATGTGGCACTCCTGCTCTGTCCTATAGGGTCACTGAGAGTTGGAATCACCTCGAGGGCCCCCGACAACAATCCTTCCAGGAGCAGATTTTTTCTTCTGTGGAGCCACCCATAGGTTTGAATTGCTGACATTTCGGTTAGCAGCCAAGCACTTAACCAGTACACCACTATGACTCCTTCTCTCTGTTGTGACTTACACACTCAAATATACGATTTACACCTGCTGAAGAGAAAAGACTGTGTAGGAATAAGTTAAATTAAAAAAAAAATTTTTTTTTTTTTGGAAGAAAAGAATGTGTGGAGCTGCTCTTGTTTCTCCCCTGCCCCACTCCTTGGGAAGATACTAGGAGGATTAGCCTGAAGCCTGTCACCTGGAGAGCCCTGAGGAAGCATCAGCCATTATTACTAGCCATTCCCGGCCTGGTGTCTTCCAAAGGTACCAGTCATTAGGCTACTCACTGTCACCCCACCCTTATTGGGAAGCTCCATCATGCACAATTGGAGGAAAGCAGAGGGAAAGCATCCTTATACTCTATGTCTCTGCCTCCCTTTCAGAGCCTCATAGAGAATGAGCACGGGGGCTCCACTGGTTCAAGCAGGCCTTGAACTGTGAACAGCAACAGGGAAGAGCTGTGGTGTGATGACCTCACTCTTGTTCAGCATGAGCTGGGTCATGTTCTGGCCTCTTTTCTTTTTCTAGGCAGTTTCCTAGGCCTAGTTCTTCAGCCATCCCAGCAAGGCTAGCTGTGAGCTACTCTACCAATGCTGTTTCCCATAATTCCTTTTCTGGATATATCAGCCAGAATCAATTTTGGTTGCTTACAACTTTTTTTAAATTTTGATTGCCTTGACTAGGTACAACCATATATTTTCAGTATTTCCAACAATTTTACAAAAATTATAATCAACAAAAATATAGAAAAAGTCTGTTACGTGACAGACCCTGTTCCAGGCACTGGGTGTACAGACCTAATGAAGAAGGCAAGGAACTTGTGCTCATGAAACTGACATAAATTGCCAACTGGGACCAAGCTATATATTATCTTCCAAAGCCCCAGGAGTTTACTGTCTGTTTTTGTTGGAATCATATCAAATTTTGTGCTTAAAAGTATGTTATCCATGAGAGATGGGCTGTTAGTGGTTAGAATGCTATGAACATCAATCTACAATAACTAATAATGTCACTTGACATTCAATTGGTACTTTCAACTGTTAAAACACTTTGTGTATTAAGACAATGAGGAATTCAATGAAGGCAAAGAATAGTCTTTATAACAAATGGTGCTGGGACCCCCTACCTCACACCATAAACCAAAATTAACCCAAAATAGGCCAAAGACCTTTTTGGTGAAGGGTATACAAGGACCTTCTTTGGGCTATCCCTGTAATTTTTCTATATTTTTGAAATTATTTTAAAATAAAAAGATAAAAAGACAGACCTAAATGTAAAATTTACAAAAAAATTCTTCATGACCTTGTATCAAGCAATTTTTTCTTGGATAGGGTAACAAAAGCACAATCAACAAAAGAGAAAAATTGAATTTCCTCAACTTTTGAGCTTCAAACTTTTGAGTTTCAAACTACACCATCCAGAAGCTAAAAACACAACCCACAGAATGGGAGAAAATGTTTGCAAATTATGTATCTGTTAAAGGAGTTATATCCAAAATATAGAAAGATCAAAACTCAGTAAAAAGACAAAATAACCCAATTCAAAAATGGACAACGGATGTGAACAGGCATTTTTCTAAAGAAGATAAAATGGCCAATAGGCACATGAAAAGATGTTCAATGTCATTAGTCATAGGAGAAATTCAAATAAAAACAGTAACGAGTACCACTTCACATACATTAGGATGGCTACAATCATAAAGACGGATAGTAACAAGCATTGGTGACATGTGGAAAAACTGGAATCATCAACTGCTAATGGGAACCCAAAATGATTTAGCTATTGTGGAAAAACAGTCTGGCAGTTTGTCAAAAAGTTAAAGAGTTACCAAATGATCCAGTAATTCGACAGTTAGGTATACATCCAAGAGAAAGGAAAATATATGTCCACACAAAAACTTGTACATAAATGTTCATAGCAACACAAAAGCCAAAAAGTGGAAACCACCATTCACAATAGCTAAAAAGTAGGAACCCAATGTCCATCAATTGAAGAATAGATAAACAAAATGTGGTATATATCCATAAAAGAGAATATTATTCAGCTATAAAAAGGAACAAAGTACTGATATACACTATAACATGAGCCTTGAAAACATTAGGCTAAATTAAAGACTCCAGACAGAAATGGCCTCATTTATATGAAATACCCAGACTTGGCAAATCTATAAAGACAAAAGTAGGTTAGTGGTTCTCAGGGTTTGTGGGGAGGGGGAAATTAGGAAGTGCTAATGGCACAGGGTTCCTTTTTGAAACACCCATTAGACATGTTCTAGAATCAGACAGTGATGATGGTTGTTTAACTTTTTGAATATATTAGAACTACCGAATTCTACACTGAAACACACACACACTTAAAAAATACTCTGACCCAACAAACACACCACAGACTTTCCATTATGGTAAGAACCTCAAGGTCCTCTTTTAAATAGTGAGATCCCTTGGGCCCACGCTGCCTCCACTCTAACGCTGCTTCAAAAGAGCTCTATGGAATCCTAAGGCTCCAGTGGGCTGTTCTGAAAACCACTGTTTCAAATCCTATGAAAATATTCTCACAATCAGCAGCAATATCTTAGAAAACCTTCCATCTACATCGTTCTCCACTGCACAGAACTCTCCATGACATTCCCTTTAACTCTCACTATATGAGTAGATTTAAAAAGAACACATTTCTCACATGGTCGTCAGATGCACTGAGGAGATGTCCACTCAAATTAGAATTCCAGGAAAGACCGTAGCCTTCCTTTTGATGGCCTCTTAAGCGAAGATCAGGATTACATTCTCCACTTGGGTCTAAGGAAAACAAAAGAAACACTGAATATTAAGTCATTATCTGTTTATTACAAGCAAGTGAGAGCAAATTCTTCCTCCTTCATTAGTGAGCCATACCAGCAAGCAGTGTAATGCTGGGTAAAGTACTGTACGCAGGACTTGGTCTGACCCACAAGTGCTTTGAAAACCAATTCTCTGTGCTACATTTTAAATATTCAGTGCAAACCAGGTCTCATAACCATTACAACATTTAAGACTGGTTTCTTTGGAAAATCTAATACTATCTCCAAAATAGAAATACTGTAAACTATCGCTATGCTACAAATGTGGGTGGTGGCACCCCCATATAGTCAATTTTTGGAAATATTTTTGGAGGAAAAAGTTAACACAGCAAATCTGGTTGTTCAGCCCTTACATATCTCCAGGGTAGCCCGCAACCTTAGCTAACCCCAGGGAAAAGTGGCCCTTCAGAACGTTATGACTCTGTCTGATGAAGCTGTGTATGCCCAGAGCAATGGGGCATGCTGTAGCAGCTTGTCAAAACTTATCAGGACTGTTTGGCAAGATTAATGAAGTCCCTGATTTCACTGTTGGGTCCTGAGTATCACTTACTATGGCTGGTCACCTAGCAGTTTATGCTTTTGTGGCCAGACTTCCATAAAACCCCAGATCCTGAGACTTCAACTGGTTTCTCTGGATAGAGACATTCAGCACATGTCCCTGTAGTTCACTGCTAGAGAGAAAACATGTCCTATGTGGCCCCAGAGAGGGCAGGACTCAGAAGTGTAGGCCTTATCACTCTGGACCTTGGCTGATGTGTTTTTCTTGCTGCTTCTGCTCTGTATCCTTTGTTGTAATATACCTTAGCTGTGGGATAACCTGCTATTAAGTCCTTAGTGAACCTGAGGATCACCAACACGATTTTAAAACTTCAAAAATTACAGAGCATACAACTTTGGCCTTATAATTATTCTTCTGAATCAAGAAACAGCTCTAGTAGTGGCATGACTTTACCACCATGTACCTGGTTTAGCAGGGTGCTTTGTATAGTCAAAAACCAACACGTCAGAAGATGGAGTTTTTGTAGCAATAATGTGAGGATTCTGCGGCATGTAGCGAGCACGGTTCACTTCTCCTTCATGGTTAATTTTAATTTCACATTCAATTTTTCCTGTTACAGAACCAAAGCCGCCAAATTCTAACATGAGAAGAAGAAATCAACACATGTACTTAGGTTTAAAATTCACAAGTCAAGTAATTTAATCAACATAACAAATTTTACCCTGATGGAATATAATAAGGAGCTGTGGTAGCGAAGTGCCTAAGGCATTTGACTGCTACCCAGAAGGCTGGCAGTTCAAACCCGCCAGCCACTCCTCAGAAGGAAGGCTGGGCAATCTACTTCTGTAGTGATACCACCTCAGAAACCCAAGGAGGGGTTGCTGTGAGTCTAAATCAACTCAATGGAAGTGAGTTTGGTTTTTGGCTTTGGCATGCAATACCAACTGAAATAGAGGAAACGCAAAAATATAGGTCCACTTGGTTGCTAAATCAAAAACACCAAACCTATTGCCATCAAGTTGACTTTGACTGATGGCGACCCTACAGGACAGGGTAGAACTGCCCCACAGGGTTTCCAAGACTGTAAATCGTTATAGAAGCAGACTGTCTCATCTTTCTCCTGCACAGCAGCTGGTGAGTTCCAATCACTGACTTTTTGGTTAGCTGCTGAATGGTTTAACCTCTACCCTACCAGAGCTCCTTCACTTGCCACTAGGAGATAATTTATTTTCGAAGCCCATTTTTATTGGAAAATACTTCTAGCTATTTTATGCATGTCAATTGGTTCTACTTTGGATATAAAACAATTCTGTTCTGCTTTAAGGGCGATTTATTGATTTAGTAAAATTTCAAATAACCACACAATAAACACACCAATGGCATTTTAGATCAAATGTAACTCATTTGAAAGCTGCACTGTATTAGCATCTTTCTTTGAGGTTTCACTAAAACATGCCACCACCAACAGTAAGAACATTCCTTGAGTCTAAAAGTAAAAAACATCCTCAAATCAGAAATCCGCACTCACACCCAACCCCAACACAGTATATATGCTCATATGTTGGTTCTCATAGTATATCTGGTTCAATTGCTAGTGGACTGCCACAGCTAAAACAAGGGAGTCAAACCCTACCTTCTGGTCTGTAACTAAGACTATAGTCTGAAATAGGAGTGGAAAAGATAGTGTTTTTGCTCATAGATAAGAACTTGAAATAACTGCTTACAGGTAAAAAGTAATGAGTTTTCAGATTATTTCTTCCTGATCTAAACGGCATCTTCCTTGGAGGTTTTATTTAGCTCACCATGTCTCACGTCAGGGATCACTAACTTAAAAGCCTAATGGAGCCATGCAGGTACCAAATAAAATAGACTGGCTGGGGCCTGGAGAAAAACATACTAGAAAGAGTAGTCACTCCTCAGTTCCAGCCAGCTCTTGCTATGTGGGAATGCTTAATGCCCACGGCTCTCATGCCTAGACCCAGGCATCTAGCCATGCTTCTCTATGGCAAGGAGAGCTCATCATTTGAATGTGGTGGAAAATCACATCTCTTCCCACTACTCTCAGGCCACTTGCAAACCCCCACTTCTGTCCCAGTACTCTCCTTCGCCATCATGTCCATGAAGTGCCCTTAGCCTTTGTAAGACCACCCTCTTGATCTTATCACCTCCTACCTCCTCTGAGACTCTGCCCCAAACCTACCTGCCCTTTACTTTCACTATCCCAACCCCATGGACTCCAGCAGTTCTAACACTTTGGCTACAAAGATACTCAAGTTTCCCAATTCCTTTAGCTTAAACAACCTGTACAGCGCTCCTTTTTAAAAACTTGGGCTTCCTGCTAAGACTCGGTTTGAACTCAGGGCTTTATATTCTCAAACTTGGTAAAATAAAAAGTGGAAAATCACTATGTTAGTGATTGTAATCAACCCAACTGCTGTCGGGTCAGTTCTGACATAATGATCCTATACGACGGAGCAGAACTGCGCCCATAGAGTTTCCAAGGCTGTAAATCTTTACAGAAGCAGACTGCCTCATCTTTCTCCCACAGAACTGGTGGGTTTAAACTGCCCAACTTTTGCTTCGCAGCTGAATGCTTTAACCACTGCACCCCCAGAGCTCCTAAATGACTGCAGTTGTACTCATTTAAAAATACTAAAAGTGAAAATGAAAGGTGGTAACTGAATTATTTTGGTCACTTGTTAGAATGCAATATACATTGGATGTGTAACTTTGATAATTTGATCTATTCGTATATTATACACAGATACTAACCTAAAAGTCCAGTAAGTACGTGTTTCAAGACTAAAGCCATTTAAAATCTAATTACAATATTTACATTATATTAATAAGGCTGACACAAGTCCCAAATATCAGCAAGGCTACAGGGGAATGGAATGGAATTTGTGGGAGTGGTGAACTGGCTAAATCATGTTTGAAAACAGTTTCATATTATTTTAAGTTGACAATGAATACAAGATACAACTGAGCAATTCTAGTAGAACTGAGCAAAAAACCACAGAGAGAAAGTGTCCCTTGGTTAAAAGAATAAACAGGTTTAATTACAAGGGTATACTACAGAAGAGTTAAAAAAAGGAAAGAGGTAGGGATCTACAAGGTATACATACAGGAAAACAATGCTGAATGAAGAAAGCTGTCCAACATGTATCGTTATTACTTAAAGTAGTAAAAATAACGATTGAAAATGACAGACATTAATTTCAGGTCAGTGGAAGGCAGAGGAAGGCAGGGAGGAATGGGGGGTAGCTGGCAGAACTTTAGCTTTATTTTTAGTAAGAAAAAACCTAAAGCAAATATTGGAAAATGTTAACATTTATTAAATCATTTGGAGATGTGAGGAGAGATTTAACACAGGAGGTCTGTTACCTGCCCCTCATCCTTGAAGGACACCGGGACCATGACTGACTGCTGGCCAACTCCTGGGAACATGGACCTCAGGATGTTCTTTATGCCACTGATGGACTGATGATTTTGTGGTGTACATCTGGAGCAATGGACCATGCTGTACCAGTTTGTCAGGTCTACTTTGTACAAACATCAAGACTGATGATGTACACTTGGTTTCATTACTGGGGTCCTGAGTTTTACTTGCCACAGCTAGTTGCCAGCAGGATATACCAACATAACCAGCATTTCCTCCCTACTCATACTCTGTGAAATCCTCAGACTCTCAGGCTCAAATGGCTTTTCCTGGGCAAATATATTCTGCATGTGTACCTATAGTTCACTGCCAGAGAGAAAACACATCCTCTGAAGCATTAGCCTGTGCCAGACCTCCCCATTCTTGCTGATGCCTATCTTTTTTCTGCTGCTTTTGTTGTCTGTCCTTTGTTATAACTAACTTTAGCTATATAGTTTGCTGAGTCTTCTAGTGAAACCACCACACTTGGAGTGGTCATGGGAATATTAAAACAGGGGGGTTATGTATTTGATAGTTTAGGATAGTGCAGGAAGAAAAGAAAAAAGGTTCCATGATTAACCCTACCAACTGCCTTCCACCCCATTCTCCTCTTTTTTTTTTAATTAGAAGAAAAGGGTAAAAAACCAAAAAAAAAAAAAAAAAAAAAAAAAAAAAAAACCCACTATTAACTGGTTGGTGTACAGTCAGCCCTCTGTATCCACAGTTCCAATAAAAAAATATGGGGGCTAAGCAATTAAGTGGTCAAAGCAGTCCATCAAAGGCTAAGGAACATAAAGTGCTTTACATAACATTTACACTGTATTGGGTATTATAGGTTAGAGATGACTTAAAGTATATAGGAAGAAATGTGTTGGTAGACTATATGCAAATACTATACCATTTTATATAAGAGATTTGAACAACAGCAGATTTTTATATTGGTGGAGGGGAGGTGTCCTGGAACCAATTCCCCTACGGATTCCAAAGGACCACTATATATGCTTCCTGTTTTTTTTATGCTTACATATTATTAATTTTATAAAAATTGATGATTGTAATTATATACTGGGTAAAGTTAACCTGCTAGGGTAAAAGACACTAGTATCAAGTTTTTTCCCCTAATTTTGCTTGTTGAGACTATATACTGCAAATATATGCACCAATTCAAAAGTACCAGGGTACCCCATGTACCACTTCGTGACACTGATTACATTCTTTTGAGTTGTACAACCATTCTCACCCTCCTTTTTTAAGTTGTTCCTCTCTCACTGCCACCTAAAGTTCCTATCTAACCTTTCTAGTTGCTCTTGTCAACCTGATCCCATATAGATAGTTCTTAAAAAAAAAAACACATTGCTCAAGGCAGACTTTTATTTTTTACACTAGTTAAGCTAAAGTATAGTTTTAAGATGACTTCAGGGAATGTTTTAGGGTTTAAGGTTTAAAGATCATCTCAGGGCAATAGTTTCAAAGGTTCATCCACCCTCCATGGCTCCAGAAGTCTGGAGCCCATGAAAATTTGAAATTGTGTTCTGTATTTTCCCCCTTTTGATCAAGATTCTTCTACAGAATCTTTGATCAATATGTTTAGTAATGGCATCACCCAGTTCTTCTGGTTTCATGGCAAAAGAGGCAATTAGTCACGAATATTCCATATCCTCTCCCTATTCCTGACTCTCCCTTCTTCTTTTGCTTGAGGTGAATAGAGACAAATTGTGCCTTGGACAGCCACTTGCAAGCTTTTAAGATCCCAGGCACTACACAACAGACTAGGAGGTAGAACAGAAGCACTAAACATGTTTTAGGCCAATTAACTGGGATAGCCCATGAAACCATGACCCCAAACCTCCAAACTAAGGAACCATATCTCATGACGTGTTTGACTGTATTAAGAATAAAGCTTTAATGAAGCATATGATTTACAAGAGGCATATTCCTTTCAACCAATATTTGAACATACGATATACCTACCACCCTTCTCACTGTCACAGTGGGAAGCATCAAACTGTGCATCATCATTTGGAATATGTACACGAGCAACCACCAAATGATTCTGCTCATCAGATGTGTGGGTCCCCAGCACTAGCCAATGAAGAGCATAATCCTTCCCTTCCGGTCTGTTAAAGGGGAAAAAAAAAAGTTATATTGATGCTATAAGAAATCTTCAGTTCCTAACAAAGTAAGTTCTAAACCAAAAAAACCAAACCCAATGCCAGTAAGTCAATTCTAACTCTTAGAGACCCTGTAGGACAAAGTAGAACTGTCCCTTAGGGTTTCTAAGGCTGTAAATCTTATGAAAGCAGACTGCTTTATTTTTCTCTTGGGCTCAGTGGCTGGTGCATTTGAACTGCAGATCTTCTGAGCTAGCAACCAGATGCTTTAACCACTGCACCACCAGAGTTTCATCAAATTAAGTTCAGTTGTTCTAAAATTTCTTCAAAAACTCTCTACTGAGCATTAACTATGCACAGCTCCCCACTCTATTTCCCAATGTAAGGATTTCCACATAGCCAAATGTAAAGAACCTCTCTAGTCAACAACATGCTTGCTTCTTTCTTCAAAGAATCACACTCCTCTGCCTCAAAGTACCAGGGTGAACACTACGTTTTCTAGAGTTATTCTGCTGGGTAAGTTAGGCACAACTCAGTAAACATTCATCTATGTAAGAGTCCATTCACCAAACCCCATACTCATGGCTTCACATCTAAAATCTCTTCTGCCCATGTTGTCAAGTCAATCCGCAGCGACCCAACAAGAGAGTATGGAACTGCCCCATAGCGTTTCCTAAGCTGTAATCTTTATGAGAAAAGATCCCCAGGTCTTTTCTCCCATGGAGCAGGCTGGTGGGTTTGAACCACAGACCTTCCAGTTAGCAGACAAGTATTTAACCACTGTGCCACCAGGGCCCCTTCTTCTGCCTATACTTCCATTTTAATACACTAGATGTTTCTGATTGCCCAATAAGAGACAAAGTAGAATGGAAAGAATACAAAACCAAACTCACTGGCATCAAGTCGATCCCAACTCATATTGACCCCCCTAACGGGTTTCCCAGGTAGTAAATCTTTACAAAAGTATATTGCCTCATTGTTCTGTGGAGTGGCTGGTGGACTGACCACCAACCTTCTGGTTAGCAGTCAGATGAATAAAAAACTCTGGAGCTCTGGTGGCATAGTGCCTAAGGCATTTGACTTCTAACCAGGTTAGTGGTTCAAACCCACTAGCCACTCTGAGGAAGGAAGGCAGTCAAATGAAGAGAGTCAGAAAAACTGGGTTTAAATCCTGGCTCAAACTAAAATGAGTTATATGAAATTACTTAAGTCATGTGGACCTCAGTTTCTTCATCTAAGAAGTAGGTTTTAAATACAAATGATGTGGAAACCTCTTATGTTTATGGTGCTTAAAGTTTATGAAATTTCTTTCTCAGATTTTACCAATGGGGCTTTTTTAACTGGTTTTGTGGTAACTCATGTTGAAGCTGAAGAACCTACTAAGACTTCCTGGCACCTTGGTCAGGGCAGAAATTTGGCATCCTAACATATTAACAATGTTACCTACAATAGCAATTTTCAACTGTGCTCCATGGTCTCACGTTAGTGAGGGGGGCTGAGAAGTGGGGCTCTGGGCCCCAATACCAGATAAGTTAGGACATTTAACTGTTTAAAGTTGCTAAATTTCAGCTGTTCAAAAGATTCAGTGATTTAAAAAAAGGTGTGAAGGGTCAACATAACATGGATGAACTTGGAGGACATTATGCTCAGTGAAATAAGTCAATCATAGAAAGACAAATACTGTATTAGTCTGTTATTGTACAAGTCAAGGAAAGGTTTATCTGTGGGAGGAAATTTTCTTTGTTGGTTACCGGGGGTGGGAGGGGAAGGAACACTGTTAGATGGGTAGAGATAAAGTATTGATTTGGGTGAAGAGAAGGACAATGTACCAAATGTGAGTGATCAACATGGTGACATTGAGGAAGAGGAAGACAGAGAGAGGTACATGGGAGGTACAGACAACAAAGATGAACCCTTTTGCACATACAGTACTGCAGTGTCAGTGAAGGCAAACATGGGTATACATATGGGTGGATAGATGGGTGGACAGGCTGAATTAATAGGTATATCTATGAAGCGGGGAGTGTACCCAAGACCATGTATTATAGGGTTGGCAGACAATGGTCCTATAAGTGTATTTGTATGACCTGTAAGAATCCCCGGGTGTATAGTAGAGCTGACAAGGGACAAGGTTGTAGTAACTTCTTGGTCATAGCCAGCTACCCAGA